CCCCAGACCCCATCCCTAGAAGGCCAACAGTGAATGGGGGAGTAAAAAAAAGACCCCGACACACACACCCCACCCTCATATGTACTGTTGATGCGTGATGTTCTATGATACAATTAAAACGGAGAAGAAGACGGGGCAGAGGCCAGCACGATGCCAGTTCCCCCTCCACCCCAACTCCACCCCAAAACCCTAAATGTCTAAAAGCAAATACTGGGAGTGGGCACAGGCSTCAGTGGTGGGAGTGTTCCATCCCGRCCCTTGGAAGCCCTAGGTGCCCACCCCAAGTRCCTAAATGTAAACGTTATGAGGATGTTATGAGTGAATGTCTAAGGTGTACATTAAAATTGGAGCCAAGGTGGTTATAACAAACTGAGATGTAAAATTGTTGCCGTTTATACCACACCTGTGCCCCAAAAATCCTACATGAGTGCAGTTGAAAATGAGGAGGGTGGAGGAGTGTGGTGGAGGATGGGGAGAAAAAACTGAGCGAGCAAAATGCTCTTACYGGGGGGTCAGCTCCTCTGACCCCAGTAGGCGCCCCKATTTTCCAAGACCCACCCAGGGAATGAGGCCCAGGACCTCTTCCTCTGGACAGACCGACCACCAGGCCTATAAGGCCCCAGATCATGGACAAACAGAGCCCAGAGGACCACCAGGAAGCAGGACTGACAGTCCACCTGTCACAGAGCCATCCAGACCCCCAAGACCCGACCCCCATCCCCACAGCCAACCCGCAGCCCAAAGAAGCTACCGAACCCCCGCAAYGATGATCCAGCCGAGASCGCACATCCAGCCGCCGACAGCGCAAAGAGGGGCCAAYAGTGAGCCTCCGCCACAACAAAGGGGCCAGCCAGCTGACCCAGCACAGCCCCCAGCCGCCACCAAGGCCACCCACCCAGCCCCACCCCAGAAGAAATACTATACCCACCCTATCATTCAGACAACTCTCAGAACATATAGCACACTAGACACCCAGGCTGGCTTGGCCAATCCCCTCCCACGGGCCACCGGCCCCGCCCCCAGCCAGCCCAACCCCCCAGCCCATGAGACCCGCAGCCCACCAGCACACCAAGGGCCCCACGCTCAGAGCCTGGCACCGGGGCACAAACTGGCCCAGACCCCGGAAACCCACCCGCCAGGACTCAAGCCCCCCCCAGCCCCACCAGGACCACAGCCCAGGGACGGCACGACCCCAGAACCCCAAGCTCCCCGCGCCCAGCACAGCAATGCCACCGGATCAGCGACCCATGACCACAGCATGCATTTCTTGATGAACAAAATTTGATTTTTGGCTGACAAAAGTATTGTGTAAAATATAAACTTCTGCCACTTAACTTGACCCATGGTCCAGTCTGTCAAGGCCAAGGTTAACCTAGTGTGATGRTGCTCATCTACGCTTTGACTGTTTTTCTTCTGCCAGGTCTTCCAAGTTTATAAGGAATTTTTAATTTTTAAAATTTCCCTTGTCTGGTTCCAGGTTTTTAGAAGGATTTTCCATATTATTTAATTGAAAGACTCACCGAATGATAGTTGGGTAAAGTTCTCCGGAATAAAGGTAACAGCAGTTGAAGGAGGCAGCAAGACAACCTTTACCAAACACAGCCAGACATGTTCGTACGGTTTGTTTATCTGCAGAAAATGATGACTTTCATCAGATTGCTGTCCTMTTTCTGCAGAATATTGCTGCAGATGAGGTTTCTGTGTGTTCTAACGTACCATAGGGAATGAGAATGTTGATCAAAATAGGGATTCCAGCAAGGATGAGAGCGCCACTTTGTGACGGCCGACGTCCAATAAAACTCATAGTCACATTTATGACGACTTTAGCAGGAATGTCGACGACTCCAAAGATCACTTGTATCAAGTAGATGTCCACACCGAACTTCTGAAGGTCCATAGAGAGGCCGTAGTACGCAAAACTGGTTGAAAACCTAAAACCATACAAAGTTTTYATGCAGAACAATTCAAGATGGGTTTTACTTTGTTTGTTTTTCAATTAGAGCGTTCTATGCACCAGACAGCACTGAGGCAGAGGGTCATAATCCTCATGTTGGGTGTGCGGAACAGATCCAGGACAGAATGTGTCCCCTGGGAACAGGACATTTCTTTCTTCATGGACTCCTGCAGCATCTGTGTAAAAAAAAGAGCATGGTTTTACACACAATACAAAAAGTTWAATAAAAAACACCAACAATAACCATTTACTCACGTTAACATCAATCTTTTCTCCCTCCTCATGGCGTCCGTTAAACCTGGCCACACTTTGTAGAGCCTTGACGGCTTCTTCAGGCTTATTCTTTATAGCCAGCCATCTTGAAGATTCATGAAACCACCTGCCAAGGCAAAACTTATTTGCTCAATCTATTCTAATTACATATATTGTGTCACTGAATATTAGAAACTTTAGGCATGACTCCAGCGGCATGTCTTGGTGWCGCACCATGAGAAGAGGAAGAAAACGAAGTGCGGCAGCGACACTGTCAGAGTTAYCCACCTCCAGTCTCGGATGAAGTAAGCGATGGCTGCCAGGATCAGCTGTCCGAATGTGTAACAGTAAGCCGTTAATGTCCCTGTGGCAGTTCTCACACGAGTGGGGATCCATTCTAAAACTTTAAATAAAACAAGATATGTTTTTATTTAAGTCTTTACTGTGTTCCTGCAGACTTCAAACTGAAAATGAAAAGAAATTTATCAGAAAAAAAACATTATTTTTTTTCATGTCAGCATTTCCCAACTGTTATTTAGTTAAGGCATCCCACCACCCCAACAGAACTGTCTGCCACCCCATGAAGATCATAGCATGCATTTGTTCAAATGTTACCAATTTAAAGCAGAGACAATAAAGCCGATACATCTGTTTATGGCATAAGCCTAAGCAACAAAATCAAGTCCAGTCAAGTAAAACTTTATTATACCCAAGGGGCAATATACAAAATACTAAAAACAAACAAACAAACAAACAAACCCTCAAACCACATTATAAATCCTTATTTAAAAACTGAAATGTCTCCTCATCAAAAGATACTGAAGTTCAAAACTTTGTCATAAAAGGCAGAGGGTTACGTATATCTCTTCAAGAGTGGGTAGACTTTTAATTTGTTATAAAGAAAAAAGTTGTCTTACTGAGTGAAAAGGTATTGAGTGCCACACCAGACAGAGC